AACTATTTAATATTAATGAATTAAATTAAATATTTAGCAGATCCACATATTTTATTTAATGACATACATTCGTGAAAAAACAAAATATAACATAATCGTTAATATAAGAAATATTTATAAATAAATATTAAATAAAAAATATTATAAGAACAATGGAAATGACATATTTCTTTTCATTTTATGAATAAGAACGGAAGAAATTGTCTCTCTATCTCTTATTCTCTTATTCTCCTCCTATATTTTTCTATTTAGTCCAATTCCTTTGCAATGTATTATATTGATATTTAATTATGAAATAAAATATTTTTAAATATATATTTATCTAAAAAACTAAATTAATCTAATACTAAATGAATAAAATTGTTATATATCAAAATTAATGCAACCGAAGAAGTTAAAAAGATGGTCAAATAAATACATCAATCGTTGTTATATGTGCCAGACATTCATTGTCTAAAGGTACTTTATGAATTATTATCTTTTATATTCGATTACATTATATACATGTGGTTACTTGAAAATAAATAATAAACTTTATTCTCTTTATGTTGAATATATGCGTATATATTACGCAAATTTCTTCAAACTAAGTTTCAGGTTTGCTTAAGGCCTGCACTATTGGATTAACAAATAAACTGTTGTGTGCAATAGACATTTTAATTTTCTCTATTCAATGCCTGCTTATTCAACGTATCGATTGTCGTTGATTTTCCGCACGAACGATTATATAAATTCTATCAATTAATTTACCATCTTATATTCTCATAAATCACATTAAAAAAATCTCGTTTATATTAATCTTACATAACCACTTAAGGTAAATTATATTAACTTGAATATATAAAAAATTATATATAGAAGCAAAATTAAGTCGAATTACATTGTAATAATTTAATCACGACTTTTATTATAAATAAATAAAATAACTTTTATTTATCATATGCTAAATCGAAAAATATTATTAGCTATGATACCGTTCTTCTTTTCATTAATCCTAATCTTCGAATAATTGTTTGATATTCGTAATTTGAGCCAATTAATTAAAATAACTATTATGATATAAAACTAGAGGAATTATCAGTTATTTATAGTATTAATTTGCAGTATTTGTAAATTATAAGTCATTTTCTGAAGCGAGAATTGTATCTTTCTTGGGATAGTGATAAAAATTTAACTTTCAAAAATAAAATTAAAATTATACAGTAATTGCAATTTATTGCATTTTATACTCGGCTTACCGACGGATATCTTATCATCCTCGAACTCTATCTTATATAAAATCGCCGAGAAAGTGGATGCTTTATCGATGCTTTTCATTTCACGAAGAATACAAAAGTAGACTCACTATCGATAGCAACATAGAATTTTATTTAAATAATGTATATGAACGCATTTAGTATTCAGAAATTTTCTTTTTTAATATATACAATATGGAATATACGTAATGCCAGCCTGAATTCTTTGAGTGCACGCACAAAGCCAATATTGATAAACTGAATCCTTATCCTTATAGCTGATAAGAATAATCTTACGGCCGATTCGAAAAAAAGAAACCTTTTTACAATACGATAATTTAATAAATTCGCGTAACCCTTTTTTGTTTATAAATGATTCAATATACAAAATTAACGGTTCAATTATATTCAACGGTAGAAAAAATTAATTGCAGACATTTATAAAACCAGAGTAATATTATAAAGAAATACTTTATTATTTTATGCTTTATGCAATGAAATTGTGAATTATTCCACATATCCAACGATGAAGACTTTATAAAGAGAAAGTTTGGAGGAGAAATGTCAGCAAGTTTTACTCAGACTAGGAATCGATGTTTGAATCCTTCCATTTCACGACGAAGCTGAAGCGAAGCGTCCTTTTCAATAATTTCATCCACAAACCAGTAGCCCGTACTATGTCATATTTGTTATAGTATTAAAATTAAACTATCTTAACTTATATTAAATCTTAAATCTGATATATATATATATATATATATGTGTGTGTGTAATTATATTTTCATTAGTATAAAAGTAATTTTTTTAAAGAAAAGTTATACTTTAATACTATTAAATGATGGAAGCCAAAGAAAATACTATTTTCAACAAAATTTAAAGTTTTCCTTTTAATTAAATTCATAATAAATGTCAATTTCTATATGTATACATATAATGCAATAACACACACACACACGCACGCCCCCCCCCCACATATATATATAAATATGTACAGGAGACTAATTTAATCAAAAAGTTCTTGAATATTAGATTTTCCTAATAAAAGAAATCGTATTAAATATTTTATATAACTTTGATTTATTTTAGGCTTCTTAAAATATTTTACTACTGAAAAATAAACGAATTTTAATTAAAAAAATCTTATTAATGTATAAACATTAAAAGAGCTATATATTAAAATTTATTTATCTATATTTTTAATGGAATATTAATTATATTTATTCGGATTTTATAATGAGTCAACTACACAAAATTGATTCGATATATTCTCTTATTTTAAAATTTTTAAAATTAATATTTATATTTATTCAAAATAAAGTATTTGATTAGCATAATATTTATTTTGCATTATATATATATATATATATATAGTTTATTTTTACTTAGTAATACTTTTTTTTAATAATTTATAATTGATTATTAATATTATTATAAATAGGTTTACTCTTTTTTTTATTTTACTATATATATATATATATATATATATATATATATTTACTGTATATAATTACTGTATATACAATATAAATTTGTCTGGAACTTTTTTATAGTCAATCTATTTCGCTTGAAACTATTACTCATACATTTCCTGAAATCTTAAAAAATTTCAGTATATTTCTCCTTTCTTTTTATTTTGCTTTTAAAATATGTCATAGTCATGTAGCTCAATATTATGTTTTCCTATTCTTATCAAAAGTTCTGTGGTACTAAATCAGTCACTGTTAACCTGAAAAAAAAACCGTAGAGATTGAAAAATAAAGAGTTTAATCTTAGTTGAAAATTCATCAAATATTGAGTTGTTTTGTTCCTTATGAAGAGAATTACGACGTAAAAAAAGCAACTTTTAAAGCATTGATTATTTCACAATGAGTCAATCACGTATTAGGCATAAGAAATAAATATCTATAACTCATAAGCTTACTTAATGAGCGAATTGCTACATTGAACGATATGTTATAAATAATTTATTTTTATCCTAGGCTCGACGAAGTGTTCATAAATTTTTTATATTGACTAAGAATATTTATTTTTTATCTAGTATTTAATTTAATATTTAGTTTATAATTAAATTAAGATTGTTTTATTTTTAATACAATAATTAGTAAAAGAAATGGCAATTCTTTCACTTTTTGGATAATGATGTTAGTTGTTAATGCTCAATTTTTTTATCTATTCAAAACAATTTGATATTTATTGCATCATTACAAGTCATAAATTATTCGAATTGCATATCTAATCAAATAATTTACTTGCAAAAGTATCATACTTTATGAGATATCAGTTAATTTATGTATGTACGTTAATCTACATATGTGCACATTTATGTGTGTAAATTTATTTGCCAAATATTTTTTCAATACTACTTATATTTAAACGTCCTTAAATCATGAAAAACAATAATTGTAAATATTAATTAAATAGAACTATTTTTATTGAACCAAACGAAAATAAAAATACAAAGTTCTTTAATTACAGTTTATAGTAATATTTATAAAAATCTTAAATCTTATTATTGTTAAATAAATAGTTATATATGATGGATTTGCATCAAATTTCTTTACAATATTTTCTATATTTAATTATATTATATATATATATATATATATATATATATATATATATATATATATATTTATAAATATATTATAACTTAATTATCTTCGTATAAATTAAAATATTAATACTTTAATTAATTTTGAGCCTTCAATTATCTTTGCAATATAAATTTAATTTATTTCTAGGTCAATGATTAACGTTTATTATACACAATAATAAAGTGAGGTGAACTCTGTTCAGACTTTTTGAAAAATTTTACGACATAAAACATATTTCCTATTCTAAAATATATAGAATTAAAATTTTATTTTGACAAATTTAAAAAAAATAGATTATGAATTTTGCTTTATTATTGACGGCCAACTAGTTATATAATTTATATTTAATTTATTATTATTATAAAATCTTAAATCTCATAAACTGTTGACAAAATTATCTATTTTTAATTGTTACGATTCCTCTTCTTATATTAAATTTTTTATAAGACCAGAATTGAATTAGTATATAATACAAATTATATTGTTCGTAAGTTTGTGTAGTCAGGCTCATACGTGTCTGTGTCGCTTTATTGCATGCAGAGAACAATTGAATAACGAAGAAAATTAAATATATTTTTGAAAATAATATAAAGTTAGAAAGATATGAAACGAGCAAAAAATTAAGAATACGTTACTTGTGCAAGGGATCCCCCATGCCTAGGCACTATCCACGTCAATATTAATTTGTGCTTTTTAGAGGAAGAAAAAAACAAGGATCAATAGGTGTTGTATACAATGTCCTTTCTATAAATCTACTATCTACCTGAAAATCCTTTTTGATATTACGGCAACTACTTATTACACCTTTATCTCTCTTTTTCAACTTGCTGCACTCGAAGTACTATGAAATGCGAGTGATTCGTTGAAGTAATGAAAAAGTTCACAATATTTGTATAGGACATAACTACTTTCGTTCCTCGTTTATAAAAATAATTCCAATCTCCCGTAACTCGACAATGCGAATCATTAACACAACATTCACATTTAGCAAAATTTTTCTTTTATTAAAATACTTTTTATTTTATTGCTATCATTAGGCGTGAGAGTGATTTTGATTTGCCAAATAAAAATCATTGAAAATAAGAGACCAAAAAATTCAATGTATTAAAATTTCTTTAATTCCTGATAAACAAATGATCGGTGTAAGAATGTTATCCCTACTGAATTTCAGACGGGTTTGCCACCCTCGTACGAAGAGTACTTGTGCCACAAGCACGTTTTGCTCTCCCGTTCGCATACCCCACCACCACCGTGGTCGGACTCGTCCAACTCGGGGCCCATGTTACCCGGAGCCGCGCCCAGCCTGAACCTTCAGCAGATGAGTCGCGAGCTACTGGCCAATCATCCAGATCGGTGTGTATATTTGGACCAGGAGTATCGGCGTCTGCTCAATCAGCATATGGCATTCAAGAAACAAGCGACAAGGATGCAACGAACGCGGACCATGTCACCCAGGTGATGAGCGGCGCCTTCATTTCATTATATTTTTGATCATTTGTCATAATGCACGGAGCACCATTGTTAAATCTTTATTGTCTTACTTACGTATTGCAATCGTATCTTAATAATCTCATGTTATCAATCGGTCATGAAAGAATGATGAAACGCGTGGAAACGGTGTATTAAGCATTTAAACGGAAAAACTTTAATCGAGTTATTTCTTTTTTGCTCAAAATATTTCGCATGGCATTAATTTTTCAATTTTATTATTTTAAAATTTTATTAATTTTATAAGAAAATATATCAAAGTAGCTGGTAAACTTAAAACGATAATACTGATTATGTCAGTGCTAAACCATTTGATTTCATTATTCCTCGAATATAATATAAACGTACCAAATAATCCTATTTTGAGCTAACTATAATAGCCCTGATATCTTTAATGATCGAATTAGAATTTCAAAGAATTTTTTGCAAATTTTCATTGAAATCGTTGAACGAGAGGAACGAAAGCTACAAGTCAATTGTCCAATCAACATACGTTGTTTGTCAGAAATATTTATAAAAAGTGTCACTACACGCGGCGCATTAATTTTTTTAATTAATTAAGTGCCATATGAAATTCAGTTAATACAGTTTGAAAAGCCTCGTAATAACCGTTTAAATGATTTTTCGTTTGAATTTATGGATAAACTCTGTTTCAATAATCGAAGCGATCTAATATTAAAAATACATTATTAAATAATTTGAAGCAGGGAATAAACGATACCCTTTTCGTATAATCCATTGCGGTTATCGTTAGCAAAATATTACCAAACATTACTCAACAACTATCATAGCTTTTATATTATTTGCAATTGATAGACTATCACGCATTGAAAGTTAATATTCTATAAAATTTCAATAAAAACTTTGTCCGCGTGTAATGAATATGAGAAACAAAAATTAAATAATTCGCGTGAAAATATGACTAGAATCGCGAAGTGTGTGAAATAAAAGAAAGCACAGGTCAAAAGAATGTTATAAGCGTTCTTGTACAAAAATTTGACGATACTTGGTTGCATTTGTGTCAGGTCGTTGAGCGAGAGTCGGGCACATCAGCAGCGCATCGCAATGATGTACGAGGATGGTGCCTTTTGCATGGAAACAACGGCAATTCAGTCGGCTTTCGAGAACGGAGTAGCCTTTTGCAGTCTCATGTAAAGAGGCTGAAGAGGAACGCTAAACGAAAGTGTCGCTGTTACGCAGTCGTTTACTCAACTACACATCCTCCTCACTCAATACGTCCACAGGAATACGCACATCGATGATAATGTTCGCCCCCCTCCCTCCCTCCCTCTTCCGCCACCTCCTCCGCCCCTCCTTCTCTCACGCTCTGGCTGGGCCAGGAAAAGCGAAAAGCCTCCTCTGTTCGGCCGCTATCGCGTTGTAGGAACTTTTTGCAGGGGGCCTCTTCGGCCTCCTCGGGTCATCTGCAAGTGAACGAAAAATCAACGAGGTTAACTTTCACGTAGGAATTCGAGGCAATTTATTGCGGTGGCGCTCGATTTTCCATACTATAGGTGAACATTTTTTAATAACAATAGAGATGATATTTTCGATATAATTTTTTAAATGCACCCTTTTGCATAGATATACAAAAAAAAATATATATATATATATATATTTCAATATGAGGCTCATTAATTTTTCATTAACGTTATTGTGCTTTCGATGGTTAATGAGATTGACAGTCCTAGCGCGATATGCAAAAGGAGTTGTGTTAAATTTCAAACGATGCGTATAAAATATATTTTTAATGTTGAGTATTTTTTGTCAACTCTACTCAATTTAGAGATAAATGTAATTATACTTTTATAATTGTCACGGAAAATATGTATCGAGGGTAAGTTGTTACGTCAACTCGTGTAGTTCTGCGTGCCGTTTATTCGCACATTGTAAACGATGAGTTTACAAGAGATGATTATAAAACTGTGCAATTAATGAGCAATATATATTTTTAGTAGAGAAGGAAGAAAAATTTAACGGTCGATTCACCACTACATAACGGCCAGAAGATACTGGCGACCGAAATGTAAATTATAAAGATGGCTTGTATATTTTCAATGTAATTTAATATTTCATTAGTGTCCTACTAATTGTCAGTCTAAGCTCAATCGACGGCCAAGCCAATAAAACAATTTTTATTTCCATTAAAATTGAGACCATAAAGACAAATACTAATTCGTTTCAAAGAAATAATAGGAGAATCGTTCGATACTAAATGAATATAAATTATTTCCTTTCTATAATATTTATGTAACTTTTCTTCTCGATTGTTTGACTTTTTTCTTCTTTACTTTTCTTTTATCATAGATGACTGAAATTATACTATAAAAACATTTAAATACGTTCATTACTGATATAATATGAATATTACGACAAAATAAAATATAATTATATAACCAAATAAAAATATATCTATGACATAATGAACAACAGCTAAATATATCTTTCTCATTGTACACAGTTATGAGTAATATATTTCCTATGAAATACTAAATAACAAGTATATATATATATATATATATATATATATATATACCCTCTATTGTATCAATAATAATTTTGTGTGTGTGTGTGTGTGTGTGTGTGTGTGTGTGTGTGTAAGCGCGCACGTGTGTGTAAGAGAGGGATAGAGGGAGAGAGGCAGAGCGTGTGAAAAAAGAAAAGATAAACCTTTACAATTTAATTTGATTCTTCATTAATCCCAGACAAACTTTTGATAAAGAATGTACTGCATTATACATTTCTAAAAAGATTTTGAGACATAAATCTTTACTGTTGCAGAATTATGCCTTTGTTAAGATCATTGTCGTAGTCCTAGTAATCCTTATCATTAAGTAGTTATCATAAAAGCATTCTGAATAAATTTGATAATATTTTATGTAAATTATAATTTTATGCAAACACAATTTATAATTGTAAGAATGCATTCACATAAAAACAAAATAAGAAGTGATAGTACAAGTAAACCATATAGCATTTTGAACGTGGAATAAAAATTAAAATATATTTTTTAGAATTAGACCATTTTGGAAGAGTATCGATAATAAAATATTGACGGTTCTCCTATTACTATGTTAAACTAAAGTTATCATTACAAGTGTATTTATTGTTTAACTTTTCTAAGAAAAAAAATTAAAGGATATTCTAAATATTGGCAGTACTTAAAAAAAAAGAAACACATTAAAACTAAATAAATAAAGAAAAAAATACCAGGTCAAATGTTCGCACAAACAAATTGAAATCCCGATGAAAACATGCTAGTATATAATTGTCGTAAAAAAAAAAAATATATATATATATATATATATTAACTGATTGAACATCGGCATTGACAGTTGCACTCGACTTTGGGAAATAACGTTCGCTACGATGCCGACGATGAAAAGCCGGCAGCTGTGATATCAGCGCGGGTTAAGTAACCGACGATAACGACGATGACAACGACGACAATGACGATAACGACCATGTCGCACTTACACTGAAATCTCGAAAACAGTTGCTAGCGAAACGAAAAATGATATGGGTAAGCTATAGGTATGCTATAGGTAACCAGCCAACATTTATTTGATATAGAAGATATACAAGTAACGAGTGTTCTAGTCGTAATAAAAAGTTCGTAGAGACTGTTGAAAACGAGTTAATCGCAAATATATTTGAAGTAACATATAATAATTTCAAATGTCTTACGAGTGTTATAATATTCTGGATCATAATCTACCTTTATGATCTATGGCGTGAATTTCAATAGTTTCGTGTTATTCGTTGTTCAGAATTTTAAGAGGAAAGAGAAGAGTCGATTTCAGTCTGTCAAAAAGAAAAATACGAAACTGAACTTTAATTTGTAAGCTTAAATCGTATTTTTAAATTAATTACATTTTGTACTATTAACATTATAATTATTCACTATTTTACTTATGAAACTTTATAGATGAGGTGAAACTTTACATTACCTTTATTTTATAAAGTTTTTCATAAATTTCTCAACTGTTTTGAAAATGTTGTTACAAAATATGTAAAACCAAGTCCTTCTTAGCATTCTTATTAGTAATTATAGCACTTGCTTTCCTCACATATGAAAATGTCCGTATGTGCAAATTAAGCTAAATAATTATAGAAGAATATTTTTTACGAATTTGAAAACTTTGAAAACATTAATGATAATTAATGATAAAATAAAAGCGAAAGCTTATTAAATTTTTCTCTATTAATTTTCATCGTTTACTACATATCTTTACGAAATGAAATAATTTCACATTATTATTATAATTATTTAATTATAGACAGCAATATTATTTTTTATTAAAAGTTCGTTCCCATTTTAATGAGAGTAAAATTATTATATAATGCGTTTATTTTTGGTAATAAATATAGCAAGTCCTAATGTAATTAGGCTTAAATTAATGTGCATAATATTATTAATGTAACGCAGATCGATACGATATTTTTGGTGTATGTAAATTATATAACTAAAATTGTATATATTTAATTGTATAATTGTTCAACACCACGAATAGAATGTTCATTAGGTCAAACGAGTATATATTTTAATTTATACGTTATTTTAGATAATTATAATGGACATTTAAATGAAAGATTATAATTTATTTATATTTAATTATATTTTATAATTATGTTCATTAAATCAAGAGAAAGCAAAAGTATATATTCGATTAAGTATGCCGATTTAAATTATGTATTGTAAATTTCAAAAACATATTTTCGCTTCCCTTATTTTTATTTTACATAAGTTTTTTCTGCAATTTCAAATCTCATTTACTTTGAAATATTATATAAACCGTGTAGCTACAATATTCTATATAATGCATAATTGGTGTTGTAATATTATTTTCTTACGCGAATGTATTCAAAAAACATATATCTATGCGATGGAAATTCACAGACACTTGTATAGATAGAGCTTAAACTAAATGTCCAACGTTAAATTTTACTGTAGATGGGTAAATACTTTTACTTATCGATGAAAAAAATGTGTTAGATATCATAAATTACCATTACTAATAATATATAAAGTTCCACCTAGATTTTTTAGAACAGTGTATATTAAAAAGATTTCTGAATCGGATGAAATTCTTTACGAAAAACAACACTCCGTTGATCATTTGCTATAAACATAATTTACCATTATATATTGTACAATTATAATGCACTATTTTGTATAATATTATTATTTTATAATATATATTAATTGAAATAAAATAAGAATTGTAAAAAATATTCTTAATACTAAAAATTGAGGATAAAATTCATAAAATTGTTGTTATAAATTCGTGATTGCGGAAACTTATGCCACAGAACGTTTATAGTTTTATTAATTATTCTCAAAAGTATGATTAGATTGAATAAAATTTCTATAATGTAAACTCATTAAAAATGTATAATCAAACACTGTTATATTAATAATTTTTCATTATGTATTGTTGTTCAATTTGATTGAGGCTCATATTGGCCACCGAACTCCAAGATTCCTCATTAAAATAATACAATAAACCGTCATGTTATTATGTTAAAATTACAATTATACTAATTTATTATTATTATTATTATTATTATTATTATTATTATTATTATTATTATTATTATTATTAAAAGAACATACAAATATTTGACATTTTTAATTTCAAGATTAACATGAAATTATCAATTTCAAATTAATTTTACATTAATTATAAATAACTCTTACACGAACGTTACGTTAATGCCCTACAACGGTCATTGACATAAAATTTTAATCAAATATCTCAAAGACAAAGTATAACTGAAATAAACTTTCTGTCATAAAGAAAATCAATTAAATATATTATGATGTTAAATAAATGATATCCATTTTCGAATAATTTTTATTTGTTTAACTTCTAGCTTGATTCTAAAATTCTCCAAGCGTAACTTAATATCATAAATACGTTCTTTATATATACTTTTACTTATAAATTTGATGTATTTAGCGTTATTAAAATCAATAAGTCATAATAAAGAATATTTTCTTACGTATGTTTATTGTTTAGTGCAGTGAATTATTATAACGATATTTATAAGTGATATATTGAATATATAGAATTGTTGAGAAATATTTGAATAAAAACTTTTTCAACTTAATTTTAAATTGTATATACATCGTATATAGCCGCATATTTATCTATAATTAGTAGAATTAAAAGTTACATTCGACATAAAAAATGGACATAAAATAAAGGATAAAAAGATAATAAGAAAATAATTGAAGCTACATTTGG